CGCTCTCCAGGGGGGGCAGGGCACGGGCACCTGGGAGCAGCGGGAGGTGGGCAGTGGATCAGTTAGCACCTGGCAGTGGACTTTGACCTGAACCCTCTTTCCCCCTCAGGTTCCCCAGCGATGGCTTCCTGCTGCTGGCTCTGCTGCTCTATGCGCCCGTGGGACTCTGTCTGCTCCTCCTGCGCCTGTTCATCGGCGTCCACGTCTTCCTGGTCAGTTGTGCTCTGCCAGACAGTCTGCTCCGCAGGTGAGGGTGAGCGTGGGGCTCTTGTGAGCTTTCCATCCCCAAATCCAGTGAGTAGCCATCTCCTACCTGTATGTAAAGTTGTCCTGTGGGGTCCCCCTCTGCTGTCAATGGAGTGGGAGCTCCGTACCCCTGGCTTCTTGGGGCTGGCTGATAGGGGTACAGTTCATATTTGTGGATGCTCTGTGTTCGTGCCTTTTGTCCTCATTAGCCCTAAGCTCCTTTGCTGGTGATTCCAGGACCTGCCGGACAATGTGTTTCTCTTGTCCAAGTGCAAACTGCAGGGCTGAGAGAGACAAGGCAAATTGCCAGCAAGTACACCTGACACCACTCCCTCACTATTCCAATCCTGAGCGCTCCCTACACAGCTCCACCAGTGTCCCTACAAATGCAGCCCTGAGCTTCCTTCCACTCACCCTGTCTCTCCACGTGACACGTTTCTGGTGCCCCTCGGGCTTCATTCCATAGTGCTTGTACAGCCTAGTCTTTATTCACTTGTCAGCAGTTCTGGTCATGATGGGGGCCTCTGCTCCTGTTATCAGGTTTATCGTGCGTGTGATGTGCTCGGTGTTGGGTCTGTTTGTGCGGCAAAGTGACCCCAATCTCCGGGATGCCAGCATCAGGGTTTATATTGCCAACCATGTGACTTACTTCGACCACAGTGTCATCAACCTGCTGACCCCATGCAATACCGTGAGTTATGCGAGGATCTTGGGCTACACCCTTATACACCTCCCTTGGTAGAATTCCCTATTCAGGGATTTGGGAATGGCTCCTTGGTTTGTTTTTAACAAATAATTGAACAAGCCTTGAGTGTCTCTTTAGGCTTGTGTATTGTGCTATTAGGTTCTGGTTGGTTCAGGTTAAGGACAGGCAATGAACCAAGCCATCCAAGCAAACTTGTCACTTCTGCCTCACCCTCCTGACTCTTTAAATAGATATAAGCAGAAGCACAGTTGGGCTTGGGGCTTTCCCCGGGTGCTGGCTGTTTCCTGTGAGTGCAGAGAGCTATCTGCACCTGCCTAGGAAGCAGTGTGTGATGCTGTGTGATAAGGGTCTTTCAAACAGTCCTGAAAAGCAACAGACTTGTGTTGGTGGGGAGAAGGATGGTACAACCAATCTTGTAACAAGGCCCCCCATCTCCCATTCATAACTGAGAGCTGTTTGGAGGACACCCAGCTGCTCCTTTGCTGTCCAGGGAGGGGAAGGAAGGAGCTTTTGGGACGCTAGGACCCAAATCAACCCGCTGGGTAGAGTCTCTTGAGGGAGGCTGAGTGAGGATCACTGATTTGTATGTGCTCTTTTTTTTTACAGCCTGCTTTGAATGGCACACCAGGTTTCATCTGTTGGTCACGGGGATTCATGGAGCTGGGGGCAGTAGGGAGCCGGGCAGAGCTGGTGGATTCCCTGAAGATGTATTCTTCCCATCGGGGGAATCCACCTCTGCTGCTGTTCCCGGAGGAGGCAGCCACTAATGGCCGAGTTGGCCTTCTTCGCTTCAGGTAGTGGTGATGGGGGACTTTCCCGGGGACAGCCTTAGCTCATCTCTGTGGCCCTTGTTAATCTCTGGGATGTTTTCTTTCCAGCTCCTGGCCATTCTCAATTCTGGATGTGATTCAACCAGTGGCCCTGCAAGTTCAGAGGCCCTTAATTGCCGTGGTGAGTCTAGAGGTGTGGGGCAAAGATCCTGTATCCCATGATGGGCCTGTACAGCTTGGGGCGGAGGGCGGGGGAGGTCATAGCTAGAGCATTAATATTGCTGTTACTTTGTGCCTTGTGGTCTACTGCTCTGCTTTGGGGTTCTTTCCTGCCATCTCACACTCACTTCTCGGCTTCCTCCCATGGCACTTCACTGACGTTGTCTTTGCCTCTCTCACATCTCTTATGTTCCAGTGGTAATATTAGTAACGATTGGCCTGTCTAGGCAAGGCCTTTTTTCTGGCTCCCGTCATTAGTACTTTAGCATCCTGCCAATTTTAATATGCTTACTGTCATAACACCCACAAGTTCAGGAAGTGCAGGAAGTTATTCTCCGAGTCCAGGTCTATACTACGGGATGCATTGAATTTAAGATGCACAACTACAGCTACGAGAATCGCATAGCTGGAGTCAACATACCTTAAATCAGTGGTCCCCAACGTGGTGCCCGCGGGCGCCATGGCCCCCGCCGGGACATTTACATGCGCCCGCCAAGTGCTCAGGGCCGGCCCTGCATGCGCAGCACCAGTCCCAGATGCATGGGTGGCCCCGCCTCCGGGCGCCCGGCAGCTCCAAAAGGTTGGGGACTACTGCTTTAAATCAAATTTCTTCAGTGTTCACACAGTGGGAGGTCAGTGGGAGAGTTTCTCCTGTCAACTGCCTTCACTCGTCAAGACCCTGTGGAGTACCAGGGTTGAGGGCAGTGCCATCAGAGATGGAGTCAGTGGGTCCTTACTAGACCCCGCTAAATAGAACCCAGGAAGATTAACCTCCAGAGTGTCGATCTTCCCATAAGTATAGATGAGCCCTGAGGGACCACATGGTCACGCAAGGAGCTGAGCTGAGGTTGAGACTTATGCATGAAGCACAGACAAGTTTTCTTCTCTGATGCTTCTGTTAATATGGCAGCAATATAATATAATAGATCATAGAACTGAAAGGGACCTTGAGAGGTCATCGACTCCAGTCCCCTGCCGTCACAGCAGGACCAAGTACCATCCCTGACAGATTTGCCCCAGATTCCTAAATGGTCCCCTCAAGGATTGAACTCACAACTCTGGGTTTAGAAGGCCAATGCTCATCCCAGTGAGCTCTCTCTCCACAATGACACTGTTAAATGTGTTTGGCCCCCTTGAAAGCTGTGAATTTGGGCTTGGCTAGAGAGGAACTGATTTAACAGACGGATACAGCAATAACATGATGGGCTCAGGGATAGGAAGGAGTTGCTCTGTACTTGGCAGATGAGGGTAAGTGGTTATTTTGCTGTCACATGAGCTAGAGCTAGTGCCCTTTCTCTGGCAAGCAAGGCATGTGGATGTTTGCTGAGGCTGAAAGCTGGAATCTGTCAGTGTCACAAGTGCAGATTCCTGTCTCAGCTGCAGGGTCAGATGAGGCCAATGCAGCAGGCAGGGACTGCATGTGGAGAGCCCACTGCCTGAGGCTTGGCTGCCCAGGCTTCCATTAGGCCCACAACCTAGAGCAGAACATAAGGAAAGCAAAGAGGCAGCTGCCAACAACCAGTGGATAAAGCCCCTGGCCCTATATGAATCGCTTTCATGCAGAGACCCTGGCTGTGAGGCTAACCAAGGGAAGTTACAGGCGTTCTAGTCATGCAATGCCAGGCTATGAGAACCAAAAGTTAACTGGGGGTATCTGTAGGCACCGAGGCCAGCTAGCCATAATCCATGCAGTCCTCAAGGTAGAGATGATAGAGGCAGCAAAAGGAGAAGCATCTAGGCGACTAGCCTGTTGACTGTCCAAAAAGCATTTGCCGATTGGATAGTCCACTAGTTGTTCAAATCCCTGTTTCAAGGTGTGGACTCATTGCTGATGGAAAGAGATGTGACTCCTCCTCAGCATCCTAAATATTGTTAAACCTATTAAACAAAATCCAGAAACCATCATTGTCCTAAATGAAGCTAAACTTCTGTTAATCATAGAATCCTAGAACTGGAAGGGACCTCAAGAGGTCATCAAGTCCAGTCCCCTGCCCTCACGACAGGACCAAACACCGTTTAGAGCATCCGTGACAGGTGTCTGTCTAACCTGCTCTTACACATCTCCAGTGATGGAGATTCCCCAACCTCCCTGGGCAATTTATTCCAGTGTTTAACCACCCTGACAGGAAGTTTTTCCTAATGCCCAACCGAAACCTCCCTTGCTGCAATTTAAGCCCATTGCTTCTTGTCCCAACTTCAGAGGCCAAGGAGAACAATTTTTTTCCCTCCTCCTTGTAACACCCTTTTAGATACTTGAAAACTGCCATCATGTCCTCTCTCAGTCTTCTGTTTTCTAAACTAAACAAGTCCAGTTTTTTAGTCTTCCCTCATAGCTCATGTTTTTAGACCTTTAATCATTTTTGATGCTCTTCTCTGGATCTTCTCCAATTTCTCCATATCTTTCCTGAAATGCAGTGCCCAGACCTGGACACAGTACTCCAATTGAGACCTAATGAGCACAGAGCAGAGCGGAAGAATGACTTCTCGTGTCTTACTCACAACACTTCTGTTAATGCATCCTAGAATCATGTTTACTTTTTTTGCAAGTGTCACAAACTGGACTCATATTTAGCTTGTGCTGCAATGTGACCCCTAGATCCCTTTCTGCAGGACTCCTTCCTAGACAATCACTTCCCATTCTCTGTGTGTGAAACGGATTGTTCCTTTCTAAGTGGAGCACTTTGCATTTGTCCTTATTAAACTTCATCCTACTCACCTCAGCCCATTTCTCTAGTTTGTCCAGATAATTTTTAATTTTGACCCTGTTGTCCAAAGCACTTGCAACCCCTCCCAGCTTGGTATCATCTGCAAACTTAATAAGCGTACTGTTATGCCATCATCTAAATCATTGACACAGATATTGAACAGAACCGGACCCAAAACAGATCCCTGCGGATCCCCACTTGTTATGCCCTTCCAGCAGGATTGTGAACCGTTAATAACTATACTCTGAGAACAGTTATCCAGCCAGTTATGCACCTACTGTATAGTAGCCACATCTAAGTTGTATTTGCTTAGTTTGTTAATGAGAAGGTGATGCGAAACTCTGTCAAATGCTTTACTAAAGTCTAGGTATACCATGTCCACCGCTTCTCCCTTATCCACAAGGCTAGATATCCTATGAAAGAAAGCTATCCGATTGGTTTGACATGATTTGTCCTTTACAAATCCAGGCTGGCTGTTACCTATCACCTTCCAGATGAATTCCTTAATTACTTGCTCCTTTATCTTCCCTGGCAGAGAAGTTAAACTGACTAGTCTGTAGTTTCCTGGGTTGTTCTTATTTCCCTTTTTACAGATGGGCACTAGATTTCCCCTTTTCATGTCTTCTGGAATCTCTCCCAACTTCCATGACTTTTCAAAGATGACAGCAAAAGGCTCAGATACCTCCTCTATCAGCTCCTTGAGTATTCTAGGATGCACCAGGCCCTCGTGACTTGCAGACGTCTCATTTTTCTAAGTAATTTTGAACTTTTTTTTAATTTTAACTTCTAAACCTACCCCCTTCCCTCTGGCATTCACTATGTCAGGCATCCTGTCACCATCAATGTTCTTAACGAAAACTGAAACAAAGAAGTCATTAAGCACCTCTGCCATTTCCAGGTTTCCTGTTATTGTTTCTCCCTCTTCACTGAGCAATGGGCCTGCCCTGCTAGACTGAGCTTGTTTTGTGCCTTCTCCTTTCTAATCTTGCCCCTGCATACTTGCATTGGTTGCTCGTCTTCATCCTTTGGAATTTGAACTTGTTTCCACTTTTTATAAGACTCATTTTTGATGTTTAGATCATGTAAGATCTGCTGGCTAAGTCAAGGTTGTCTCTTGCCATACTTGCTAACTGGGACCACTTGGTGAAGAACATGACATTGCCAGTCTATGGAAAATGTGACCAAAAGAGCCTATCAAAGTCTCTGAAGAGTTTTAGCAAAAACCAGCCACTCAACCATTCACCCATTAGCAACATTTACATCTTTTTTGTCACGTTTCCGTATTACTCTCTCAGCAGTTTAATATATGTCGGAATTAGATCACAAATAAAACACTGCATCTTCATCGGTAAATATTTTAATAAGTGGTCAAGGGCTGTACTTTTCCATGATATTAATAGAGGAGGTGTGGGGGTCCGGGGTGGAGTTTGGGTGTAGGGGTTGGGGTGCAGGAGGAGGTGTAGGGTCTGGGAGGGTGTTTGGATGTAGGATGTGGTTTGTAATCTAGGGCAGGAGGCTGGGCTGTAGGGAGTGGGTGTGGGGTCCGGGAGTGGGTATGGGTGCAAGAAAGGATTCTGACCTGGAGGAGAAGTGTAGGAGGAGGTGCAGGGGTCAGGGAGGAGGTAAGGGTGCAGGAACAGTGTCAAAGAGTTTGGTTTCTATGGGGAGGGGAGACAGGAGAGTGCCAGAGGGTGGGGGGAGGGAGGGACTGGGGGGCTAGAAGCAGGATGGGGCCGGGAGACTTACCTTGGTGGCTCACGGCCAGCAGCCCAACTGGTTCCTCAGCCAGCGTTCCTGCATTGGCTGCAGGGGCCATGTGTGGCTGAGTCGGAATGCAGCAGTCCCAGGGGGTGAGGAGTACTTCATGCTGCCTGACTGCCAAGGGTTTTTCCAGTCCAGCTCAGCTGATAAAGTGGGGTTTGCCCACGGAAGCTCATGACAAATATTGGAATAAATTGCCAAGGGAGGTGGTGGAATCTCCCTCTCTGGAGATATTTAAGAACAGGTTAGATAGACATCTGTCAGGGATGGTGTAGACGGAGCTTGGTCCTGCCTTGAGGGCGGGGGGCTGGACTCGATGACCTCGTGAGGTCCCTTCCAGTCCTATGATTCTATGACCCTTTATACAGGTGTCACAAAACTACTGCAAAACTACTGCAAACAGGCAGCTCCCACTGGCCAGAAACTGGCCAATGAGAGCTTCATGATTTTACTGGGTGTGGGGCAGTGAACAAGGCCTCCCTCCCCACAGGTTAAGAGAGCTGCTTTGAGCACTGTGCAGAGGCAGGGCAGGCAGGAGGTTGTGGGTTCCGCCGTAAGACATTATCAGTCTTTCAGCTGAGAGGAGGGTCTCTTGTCAGTGACAAGGGGAGCGGGGAGAATGCCTGTTGCGTCTGACGGTGGGGAGTGGGGACAAAGCCTGGAGCTGTTTAATAGGTTGGTGCTTGTCCTCTGCACATGAGACTGTTCCTTGGGTAGGTATTCTCTTGCCTGTAGATGAGCAGTGCTGCAGCCGTAAGACATTATCAGTCTTTCAGCTGAGAGGAGGGTCTCTTGTCAGTGACAAGGGGAGCGGGGAGAATGCCTGTTGCGTCTGACGGTGGGGAGTGGGGACAAAGCCTGGAGCTGTTTAATAGGTTGGTGCTTGTCCTCTGCACATGAGACTGTTCCTTGGGTAGGTATTCTCTTGCCTGTAGATGAGCAGTGCTGCAC